GTCATTGTTTGACATCACATCTACCTCTCTGAAGCCTAATGGCTAAAATTGATACAGAGTAGATGCTACCACAGCCATAGCATTGTCCTATTCTCTGCTTGTTCCTTTTTAGAAAGGGATCTGAAGGTATTATAGATGGAGCTTAGAGTCTGGACATATAGGATTTGAGGAGTTAGGTTCCTTCTGTGACCAAAGGAAACATAAGACATAATTTCAGAAAGGTCATGATGTTACCATAAGGTTGTGAATTTGAGGGGCAGTGCTGTGTTGTGAACCTCAAGTTTTACCTACTGCTTTGTGTCTGAGTGCTTGGTCTTCAACTGTGTCTTAGTGTCACTTCTGTTGCTGTGATAAAATACCCTCATAGAAAGCATCTTAGAGGAGAAAGACTTCTTTTATTTCACCATTTCTTTTAAGTCCATTGTTGTGGAGATGTCAAGGCAGCAGGGACTGAAACATTTAGTCAAATTACACTGATAGCCAAAATCAGAGAGAAATGGATGTGAGCATGCTGCTTTGCTTTTGTGTTCAGCTTAATTTCTCCACTCTTACACAGCTCCTGAGCTGAGCTACTGGCATAGTGCATAGAGACGAACTATTTGTTCAATGTCTTGCCATACACAGAGTAGCCTTTACCACAAAGATTGGTCCTGTCCAAACTTGGATTATTGCTGCAGTGGAGAACTCCAGTGTGGAATGAGTGGAGAACTCCAGTGTGGGATGAGAAGCATGAGATGCTCTGGTTCTTCCTGACTTAAGACAGGCCTGAGTGGCATTTGAACATCATGAACATCATCAGAGCTCCCATCCTGGAGAAGGCTTCCAGAACGGAGTTAACAGAAGGTTTAGACAGCAGGAAAGCCAGGGAGAGTGGCCATCAGGCAAGAACAGTGCAGAAGTTGAGAGATTTGGAGGAGGCTGGCCGGCACCCTGGTTTTAATAATCAGTAAGAGTCTAACATCAAGTAAGACTATTAAAAAAAAAACAAGCTTATTAAACACTGCAGTCTGAAGCAGTAATCTAGGAACATGCCCAGAACAGTTATTAATGTTCATGGTAACTGAAAAAAAATTTATGGTAACTTCTGTGATGATTTTTCATTTCTTGCTGTGCTGGGGATTAAAACCAGAGCTTTGCCTATGGTAGGCAAATGCTTTACCACTGAGCCACAATTCTAGCCCAGATTTATTAAAGGTGAATTTTGTCCCATGTAGTACTAGAAAGGCAAATGCAGAGTGGAAACATCTTGGCCAAAATCCTTGAAAATTACAGATATATTTTTAAACTACAAAGCCTCTTATTTAGAAATTTCCTTTATAGAGAGTATCTCATTATTTGTGACCTCTAGTAAGTGAAACCTTGCTTTATTATGCTATATTTTACAAACACATTTTCAAAAACCCTCATTATTATTGACCTCTAGTAAGTAAAGCCTTGCTATATAATGCTTTATGTCTGCAAACAGTTTCAAAAACTATTAGAAAGTTTCTGTCCCTCCTCATCCTAAGTGTTTTGTGGGTCTAAGAAATCTTTTCTACTTCTAGGTAGTAAAAAAATTTTGTTTTGTATTTTTATCTCATGTGTGTGTACGTGCATGCATGTGTGTGTGTAGATGCCTAGGACTGACATCACACATCTTTCTTTGGTCTCTACTTTTACTTTTTGAGACAGCTTCCACGTTAAGGCTGGCATTACAAGTACACACTGCTATGCCCTGCTTTTTACAAGGGTTCTGGGGATCTGGACTCAAAGGGTCCTTATGCTCAGCTGAGCCATCTTCCAGCCCTCATGTCTTATTTGCTTTTCAGTTGATAAGAGACACCATTACCAAGGCAACTTACAGAAGAAAGAGTTTATTGGTGTTTACAATTTAGAGGATGAGTCATGGTATCATGGCAGAGAGCATGTACACAAGCAGGCTGGCATGGTGCTGGGGCAGTAATTGAGAGCTTACATCCTGAGACACAGCAATGAAGCAGAAAGAAAGAGAGAGAGAGAGAGAGAGACAGAGAGACAGAGAGAAAGAGACAAAGACAGAGACAGAGAGGTGGGGAAGGGAGGGAGAGAGAAGAAGGGAGAGAGGGAAGTGGGAAACTGGGAATGGTTGTGGGCTTTTGAAACATCAGGCCTGTCCCCCAGTGACACAGCAAGGCCACACCTTCCAATCCTTTCCAAACAGTTCCACCAACTGGGGACCAAGCATTCAAATATGAGCCTAATAGAGGCCATTCTCCTTCAAACCACCACATTTTATCTTTAATTTTTGAATAGCTGAAAATACTACAATATACTGATGCTGTTTGTAACTCATTTGCTACATTGGTCAAAGCCTTATTTGATGGTACTGCTTTAATTTTACCAATAAAAATACATACAGTTCACAAAATACATACGGAATATGATATTTCTTTCTGCTAATCTTTCTTTGGTAAATATGAATTTTAAAACAATACACACACTTCTGGTTTTCAACTTTAATTCAATTCATATTCTGTTAAAATACCTTTAATTTTTACGTTGCCCTTATATACTAAAGTTTGGGTATAGTATAAAGACTATTCTTGAAGTTATATAAATATAAAAAATACTTTGCAGTTTCTTGTCTGGGATGTGAGAAACTTGGAGATCACCCCCTTGTGTTCTTCTAGTAAGAAAAAACTCAGTTTTTAAAATTTTTTAGTATGAAAGTCCCTAACTTATCTCCTTCTTATATCCATCACAAGGCAGACTGCTGCCCTAAACATACAGAGACAAACAGGTAGATACAGAGGTTTGCCACTGCCAGCATAGTAGCCCCCTCTCCATGGTTGCTTAGCACTGGGTTAGCCAGCATACCATGGGCAACAATTTGGAGAAAAAGCAAACATTACAACCATGCTAAGGTGCGACATGGATGTGAGAATTAATAGCTTACAACTACAATTATATGTCTAAGGCTCTAGTGAAAGTAGTACTTGATATAATAGCAGATAAGTAATGTAAGTAGACATTACATCCTACCCCATCCTGTTCCATTCCATCTCATCCTCTCACCCCTTTTTATACCAGTGTTGCAGTTCATCCCTTCTCTTTCTGTCCCTTTCTATCCTATTGTATCCTGTCCTATCCAACATTTCATCCCATCTCTACATCCCATTCTCTCCCAACATTCTGTCGTTTTGTTCCATCCCGTCCTAAAATTCCATCCCATTCCAAAATTCCTTTCCATACCAACAGCTGCCCTTTCACCTGTGTTGGTCAGCTTTCTGTCACTGTGATGATACACCTGAGACAATTACAAAGAGAAAAGGTTTATTTTGGTTCATATTCTTGAAGGTTTGAGGGCAGGCAGCACATTATGGCAGGCATGCATGGAGGAGCAACACCAGTTCTCTCATATTCCAGGGAGCAGAAAGAAATAGAACAAAGATGAGAATCCCACAGTCTCTTTGAATGCGTGCCCCAGTGGCCTGAGTGCTAGGCCCCACCTTCTAAAGGTTCACTGCACCTCCCAGTAGCACCACCCTGGACATCAAGAGTTTAACATATCGACTTTTGTGGGACACTTTATGTCCAAGCTATAGTAGATGCTGACCTGAACATCCATCTCACGGACTTTGATATCTGCAGTGTGTTCAGTTCTAGAAGCAGGCTGGGTACCATATACTATGCTCCCCTTCTTCTGGGACTGAAAATACAAGGGCCCTGTGGTAGACTCATTTTGGGCCAGAAGTAAGATGGAGAAGTAGCCAGTTGTCAGATTGTGGGCTCTAAGAGACCTTCGTGAGAGGCTGCGCCGTCGCTGTGGAATCCCTGTCTAGGGAGCAGTGGGGCTGAACAAACGCTCTGCTGTGATAGAGTGAATACAGACGTTTGAGCTGCACGCTCAGTGTGTCACATGACTCAGGACTCTAGGAGCAAGAGAAAAGACAAATACACTTAACGTATACATATCTAATATTGTTTAAGTACAAAGAGCACCATAAATAATATGAAAGCCAAGGACTAATCTGGGAAGTGTTTATAGGGACTGAGGGTTAATGTTCTTGCCAGAGATTTTATTCTTTTGTTATTCATCTGCTTATTCGAGATAAAATCTCACTATATAGCTTAGACTTGCCTTGGAATGTAAGGCAAGCTTTCCTTAAACCTGTGATCCTCTCTGCCTCTAGCTCCCAGTGTTAGAATTACTGGCATGTGTCATCAGCCGGACCTTACCAGAGACCTTAAAAATCAAGCAACAAACTCCATAAAAAGTCATGAAAGCAAAATTGACATACATATCTTGCAAGTTGAAGCTATGTTATTCTACCCATCACATTGCTACATACAAAATAGATTGTTACACAATGGTGCTGTTGGGAAGGTATGTTGATAGAATTTCCTCTGCGGTGGTTTGGTAACATAGAAGAATTTTATGTGTACCTGCTGTGACCAGGAGTTTCCCTTTAAATTTAATGCAAGTAAATATTGACAAAAGTAAAAGTATTTTGTATAACATTCATTATTATCCTACTAATAGGTCAGAATTGGACCATGTGAGTACCTCTTGTGAAATAATTACTTTATCAATATAATGGACCACCAAGCAGCCAGTTACTGTTTATTGGTATGGAATGATGCCCATTATATATATGTATTTTAGGTGCAAATATCAGGTTGTAAAGTGCATGTCTAATTTACCACATTGTATGACACATGTAGTGACATTTGCAAGTGATGTCTGGATTGAACAAGGCTGTATATATTTGGTGTATGTATGTACCAAAATGTTTTAAAAGGGCTCATTATCTCAATGTGGTCACACTGTGAAGAGTGTCCTTTTTTTTCTTTCTTTCTTTCTTTCTTTTTTTTTTTTTTTGGTTTTTCAAGACAGGGTTTGTCTGTGTAGCTTTGTGCCTTTCCTGGAACTCACTTGGTAGCCCAGGCTGGCCTCGAACTCACAGAGATCCACCTGGCTCTGCCTCCCGAGTGCTGGGATTAAAGGCGTGGGCCACCACCGCCCGGCCTGAGTGTCCTCCTTATGAGCAGACCAGAAGCAGTGAAGCATTCACATAGGGCAGGCAGGTGGGAAGGTGAGGATAGGTCCAGAGGCCATCCTTCCATAGCGATTGCCCTAAGTGGCCTCAGGTGGAAGTGGGCCTGCATGCAGGTGGAACCCAAGTGTAGGCAGTGCTGGGGCTGGAGGGAGGGGCGGCAGGGCGCACCCCAGGCTGGGTAGGTGAGCCAGCTGCGCCCCAGACCGGAAGGGTAAGGGTAAGCGGGCGCACTCCAGGCCGGAAGCGTGAACCAGCTGCCGTGTCTGTCAGCTTTCTCCTCACAGCACTCGGTCTACCAGCTAGGCGCCATGAAGTTTCGGGCCAGAATCACCAGCAAGAGTTTTCTAGAGCTCTTCATCCAGGTCAGCGGCACCGTAGCGAGGCTGACGAAGGTCTGTGTGCTCCGAATGTGTCCTGACAGTCTGTGCTTCTGCCCCACAGGGATGCTGGGTGAGGGCCAGCTGTGGGGTGAGGTGAGGCGGGGAGTCTTCCGCCACTTCTGCATGGAGGGTGTTTCGGAGGAATTCAATGAAATCTATCTAGAGCTGAAGTCTGAGCATCTGGCCAGAGCCGTGAGGAATGCGGGCAGCGCTTCTTCCCTGAAGCTCCAGCTCACCAACAAGCGTCGTCCCTGCCTCACTGTGGTGGTGGAGCTGGCGTCGTGCCCCGGCCACACCCGTGCCATGGTCCACGATTTGCCTGTGAAGGTGCTTCCCAGAAGGTGGTGGAAAGAGTACACAGAGCCCCGGGTTCGGGCCTCGGATGTGAGTGTTTATCTGCCAGCTTTGAAGACCCTGAAGAACATGGTGGAGAGGATGGCAAACATGGGCGATCGGGTGCTGGTGGAAGCAAATCTAAACGGCAAAATGAACTTGAGTGTAGAAACTGATGCTGTGACTATTAAAAGCTATTTTAAAAATCTTGGAAATCCTCCAAAGGCCGTTCTGGGTGTGACTCAAGGTAAAGACCCAGAGAACATGGTGCAAGTGAGGGTGGACAATAGGAAGCTTCTTCTGTTTTTCGAAGGACAGCAGATAAACCCCACAATGGCCTTATGTAATATTGTGAGCAATACTCTGCTTCATCTTGTTTTGGTTCATGATGATATCTCTCTTCAGTATTTTATTCCTGCTTCATAAATATTCAAGCAGCCCAAATTTTCTTATTCAAAGAGATCTTAATTTAAGATCTTTCCAGAACTGAAACGCTGAGTTATTTGAATTAAGAGGCTTCACCCCCGTGGATTATGTATTTATTTTGTTGAGTGCTACCTTTGTAAAATGTTAAGAAACAAATGGAGAAATAATTGGATAGTTCGTGTGCTTGTTTTTTTGGCTTTGACAGTTAAAGTTATATTCAACTTAGTTGTTTTGGAAAAAAGGATTATAATAAAATAAAATAACTGAATCCTGAAACAATTGTCTTATTATGAAATACTATTGTGAAAAATGAGAAATTTCTCCTTTTAAAATAAACATACATTATTTTGAGAGACTTTTAATTTAATGAACTTAGTCTCTCTGAAAGGTATAAGATGGGTTTTTGTGCTTTTGCTTATATCACATATTTGTTAAAATATGTTTTGTCTGGTTTCAGTTTGGGGGGGCCATTTTGAGACAATTCCAAGATCTTCAGGTTTTGTGCCTATGCTGGAACAGTATATATTTGACTATTGAACAATATAGATTTGAATTGCTTTGGCCCACTGATAGATTGTTTTTTGTGAGTGGATATTTGTAACGATTTTTTTTTTAATTCAGAGGAGCCCTGCAGCATAAAATACTTTAACAAAAATACATAAATATATGTAGATTATAGTCTTGACATTCAGTACTATTAAGTATATATATACATCTGCTAAGTTAACATTTATCAATGCTTAAGTATACAGACTAAACATGGTGCCATTCACAATGGAGACAAATGTAGATATGCAATATGGCCACATAATATTAGCTGTGGTACATACTACAGTACTGTAAATTAGTAGCCACCTTCTCTTATGTTGTGGGAAGTCTGAGGTTATTTACAAATTTTCTGTTGCATAGAGTTGGCACCTATAACCTCTAGCTGTTCAAGGTAAAACAGTGTATGGTTTTGGATTTATCATATACAAAGTTTGAGTTGGCTATTTATTTCTCATATTGTATTTACTTAGGAGAATATTGTGTGACTTTTCTTGGGGAGACATGAATAGTATATGTTTACTGCAGGTAGGGAAGACATCTAAAAGCCTAAGGAGATTCAGTCCAAGTATAGCTTAGAGAATCTGGGAGTGTATTTGGGGTTATAGGAGCATGGATGACTGAAAGGCAGCTGTGTCACTGAAAAGTCCACCCAGGAAAGCCGAATCCCTGGAACTTCCTGCTCATCTTGAATCAAGATGTTGCTTATGGGTAATTTTTGAGTAGACCAAGTTTCCTGTTTTTATTTTTCCTTTTGTCCATGGTGTTCCATTATTTCCACTTAGAGAATAATTATTTATTTATTTTTATGTATATGAGTGCTTTTCCTTTTCCTGCATGCATGTAAGTGCATTGTGTGTATGTGCCTCATGCCTGTGGAGGCCAGAAAAGAGAATTGAATCCCGGAATTGGAGTTACAGACCACTGTAAGCTGATGTAGGTGGTGGAACTGAACCTGAGTCCTCTTGAAGAGCAAGTTCTCTTAAAATTGCCCCTGAAAATAAATCTTGGTATTTCATTACTTGAGGAATAGAAGATATTATAAAGTGTTAGTGCAGTGATGAACAGTCTCATTGAGATTAGGTTCGTTATTTCATATTAAATTTTAGTTTTACAAATAATAGTTAAATTAAGACTGTGGTCTTGGTAGCTTTTATTTTTGTGTATTTAGCAAATTCTCATGACTATATTTTGATCAGTAATGAATAATTTCATATTGGTTTTGATGATGGAATATTTAGAGTTATTTCTAGTTGTTTTGCTTATTTCTAAATTCCACCTGTGTTATGGAAAGGACACAAACATTGAACCTAGACAAATAAGTTGAAATTGTCTCATTAAAGTCTCTTGATTCAGGGAGATAAACAGTTGTTTTCTAAAGGTCTTAATAGTAGTCTTTATATTATTGGTGAATAGCCATTTCAGAGACTTTAAACTCTGAAACAGTTTACTTTCTCACTTCTGAGTTAGATGGGTGCATTTATTTTGGTGAATATTTTAAAAAATATGAGGATTATGTGTAAAAGCCATTTTGGAAAGCTTCGGTATCTCCAGGTTTTGTGTGTGTGTGTGTGTGTGTGTGTGTGTGTGTGTGTGTGTGTATGTGTGTGTGTGTTCTATAACACAGACATGGTGATTTCTTTTGGTAAGGTCCAACACCATGGCCAAGGCAACTTATAGAAAGGAGGATATTTTGGCTTGTGGCTTTTAGAGTGATAAGAGTCCATCATGGTAGGGAATGTTGGCAGAAGGTGACAGTTGAGGTGCAGATAGCTAAAATTTATTGCATATCACTGGGGCACAGTTTGTTCAGAAGGACCTGGCATTCATTGGATTGATGCAATGAATATCTTCTTTCTTCGTGAATACCCATACATCCTTTCTGCTAATCAAAGTCACCATTCTAAAGGATTACCGATGGTGTAACATTTCTGTTAGTCATCTTTCTCCTCTAATGTCAATGGTAATTACATACTTTCATTAAGTTGTCATGCTACTGTTTTTCTGGCAACATAGGAAGCAGAGCATTGGTACTTAGAAATTTGGTTCTTCACGTGAACTAGACTAGATTCTGAAAGTAGTCCAAAAAAAGTCACATGCTTATCCAATTTGGGCTGTAACTTCAAGTGTGTCAGTGAACTAATTAAATCACTCAAGTTTTCCATGCCTGTGGGAGCCCATTTTCAGGTTCCCTAGTGGCTTTACTCAGTAGGTCTGCATAGAGAGGATGATTGGACCACAGGCCTGAGTGCAGGTGTCCGAGATGGTTTGCACTTGGCTGTCCTGGGGAAAGGTCTTGTGCTCTACCTCTTGGTATCTCTATAAATACCCTAGTTCAGAGACAGTCACAGCCCGATGGAATAAGTTCCAGGCTATCCTGTATTTTCTCTTGGTTTATTTCCACACTCTAAATCCTTCTGTCTAATATTTCCTGCTGCTCCCACTCAAGAGCACTCTGGGAAATGTGGGGGTGGTGGGTATCCCCTATGCCAATTAAAGGAGGGGTTTCTTTTGTCAAGAATTGGTCTGTGGATGGTAATCCATGATACAAATTAATTATTCAGCCTTTCTTAGTCTATTTTCCATGCATTAAGTGTTATAGTTCTTTGGGACAGTATGGTTATTTGTTAAAACAGTTAGAACGCCCACCCCCCAAATATATGTCTTTGTGTGTCCTTAAATTTTTATTAATACATTACCAGGCTAAATTCCTCATTGTAGTTTCCAAGCATATACTTAAATATTTGAAAAACTCATGTCTGCTTTTAGAGGACTAGTCAGCACTACTTATCCCTTTAAAAGAATAATTATTTGTAAAATGCTATTTTATATAAATTAACTATTTACTTTTAGGCTACTGATTATCTCTTTTATAAGTTTGAGATAACTTCAAAATTAAAAAAAAAAACAAAACTCAAGAATATTCAAAGTAATAGTCCTTGCCAAGCCCTTAACCAGATTATCACATACTTCCTTTTGGGCCCATTTTCTTTATCTTTTCCATTTACCTGTTTATTTTGTCTGATGCCATTTGAAAATAAAGAAAACACTTCCTAAATACTTTAGTATGTAGTCACTAAGCACAGGGTTCATATTGTCACAGTACAGTTGTATCAAGTACATCACCTCCTAAAAGCTTTAGTATGCACTTACTAAGCTTAGGGTTCTTATTGCATAGTGCAGTTATATCAAATACACCACTTCCTAAATACTTCAGTATAGAATCACTAAGCACATGGGTTCATATTGTCACAGTACCATTTATCCGCTTTAGAAAGTTTAGCACTGATACTATACTGCCTAATCCCAAGTTCAAATACAGTAGGTGACAATCCTTTCAGTTATGTAGTTGATAGAAAATGTCCTGATCTGGGATCCCATCCAGTAATCATTACTAGATGTAATGAATATTTAACTCTAATGTTCTGTAAGTGGATCCACCAACAGAGGATAGATACTCAGTCTTTTAAAAATTTTTCCTTGACCCTGGCACTTTCTGAGTGTACCTTGCAATTCTTTTATAAAATTGCTTTTCATTATAGGTTTATCTAATATTCTTGCTAATTTGGTTTGGGCGATATACCAGTTTCCCTTAGAAGTTCATTTATAAGGAGATGTTTAAATGCTATGTAACTATCCATTTTTTTAAACCATGTACTTGTTAATGTTAGTGTTCCCTGAGTGATTTTTTTTTATAATTATGTATTAATGGTTATAGGATAGTAAAAGACTTTCCACAGTAATCATTCTGTGAATCTGTTCACTGATTATATTACTAGGATAGAGTTGTATGTTTTAAAAACATAGAGAACCTATTGCAACTAGTTTTGTTTTGTTTTTTCTTCAGTGTGTGCTTTTAAAAGCAGGCAAGGGGTGCAGGGACACCCAAGAGAGACTTTTCTTGTATTGGGCCTAATATTGTAACACTGAGGGACAGAACAGGAGAGCCACCTGGACAATTTCCTTTGGATGCTAAATTTTCCCAGGTTTGGACACCAGTTGTCTTCTAATGAGGACCCTACACCCTTGACATGTCTCCATTTTTTCTTGACCACTTCTTTACTGGAGCATGTCAGTGTGTCAGAGCTTTTCTTATATATATCCTCTTTATACATAAAGGCCATTTTTCTGGAAAGAATTTTAACAGTTTGTTGTATACAAAGTGATTCAGAGCACAAGGCCTTTCTGAAGATATCATTCCTTAGGTGATTTCAGCTTGAAATACTCACTATGGCAAGTGCCTAAGTACTTCTACCAATTGTATGCATTATATACATGTTTAGTTATATAACTTATGCATTATAGATAAGTTTATATTATTCATATAAAACTTACTTAGAAACAAGTTCTCACTGTATAGCCCATACTACTTCAAGCTTCCTGAGTACTGGGATTACAGATGTGTGCCATCATATCCCCAAACTGGGTTTATTTATCTTTTGTGAAGTGTCTTCAAATCTTCTGCTTATTAAAAAAATATTTTGCTATTAAGTTGCACCAATTCTTTGTATAAGTTACTTAGTTATATATATATATATATATATATATATATACATATATATATATGTGTGTGTGTGTGTGTGTGTGTGTGTGTGTGTGTATACATATATATTTATTATGAATTTTTTTTCTCCCCAGGAAACTTAGTAAAGAAAAAAAAAATCAGTTTTAAAAAAACTTCTGGTCCAGGAATTGTGATGTAGATCTTCATCTATCCTTGTTTGTAGCTTTTTTTTTTTGTATAAGTTCTTGTATGTTTCATTGCTTATAATTATATTTCTAATTAAAAAATTTTTTTTGACACAAAGGCATATTCGTATCAGGCAAAGTCACTATGTAGCCAAGGATGACCTTGAACTTCTGATCATCTTGCCTGTACCTCTCAAGTTCTGAACTTACAAGCAAAGGCTACCACTCTCAGTTTATGCAGTGTTGGGGATCCAACTCAGGTCTATATGCATACTAGACAAGCATTATCAGGTGAACTACATCTGTAGCTTGTAAATATAATTTGAAAAATTTCTATTTTCTAATAGTTTCCTCCTAGAATATTTTAAATAGCTGAATTTTAAAGGTTCATTTGTATTATTTTTAATTATGTATATGTATGTGCATGTGAGTACATGTGCCCACACAGGCTAGAGGCATCAAATCGTCCTGGAACTGGAGTTAAAGGTGGTTGTGAACTGTTCAACATGGTACTTGGAACCAAACTTGGGTCCTGTGCAAGAGCAGTGTGTGCTCTTAACTGCTGAACCATTTCTCCAGCCCTATACAACTGATTTTTATATATAGATCCTAATTCTAATACAATTAACCTCAGTTATTAATGCTGAATTGATTTAGTATAGTTGATTATGCACTTTTTTCTGCTTGTGACCTCTATTTACTGAGATGTTTGTAGGCACATAAAGTTGATATATAAACATTTTCTGATAACAAAGCATAAAGAAGTTTCTTTTGAGCCAGGCGGTGATGTACGCCTTTAATCCCAGCACTCTGGATGCAGAGCCAGGTGGATCTCTGTGAGTTTGAGGCCAGCCTGGTCTACAGAGTGAGATCCAGGACAGACACCAAAACTACACAGAGAAACCCTGTCTCGAAAAGAAAAAAACAGAAATTTTTTTTTGAACCAGTCTTTTGATACAGAATTTTGCCAGTTATTAAGGATGAATATCGACTTGCATATTAATGAAATGGATGTGTTTGTTAATGTTTACATAAGGAATTAAGAATTGGCTAACCATTTGCTGCTGTAGGATGTAGAGCATCTTCAGCATTTTTAGAATTAACTAACAATTAGATTGTTATTCTGGTTTTGAGTATGAATGAAGTGGCTGAAGATGGATGAGGAGAGGTAGAAGAGTCTAGTTCTGACAAGTTTTAAATACAACACAAAGTATTTTGTGAACTGTGGGTATCTTACAAAGGTTTTTAAAAGCAAGGATTGCTGTGGGATGTTGTTCTGTATGCTGTGAATCTGTGTTGCTCTGATTGGTTGATAAATAAAATGCTGATTGGCCAGTAGCCAGGCAGGAAGTATAGGCAGGCAAACAGATGAGGAGAATTCTGGGAAGAGGAAGGAGTTGCCAGCCAGTCACAGAGGAAGCAAGATGACAAGGCAGAACTGAGAAAAGGTACCAAGTCATGTGGCTCAACATAGATAAGAATTATGGGTTAATTTAAGTGTAAGAGCTAGTCAGTAATAAGCCTGAGCTAATGGCTGAGCAGTTATAATTAATATAAGCTTCTGAGTGATTATTCTATAAGCAGGCCACAGGACTATTGGTTGTAGTATTAAGGTAACTCCATGTAGTTAAATGGGAGGTTTATTTTGTGGAGTAACTTACAAGTAAAGGGGTAGGATACAGGGTCTGGGAAAGGTGTAGTGCAGTCCAGTGGTGTTCTCTGGAGAACTCTGCTTGATCTGCCTCTAGCATCTGGGATCCAGGAACCAAGAGAGCTAGCACATCCAGATCTGGGGTCTTAAGGGCTCCTGTCTTGGCCCTGCCTTGTAGGTGTGACAGTTACAGAAGCCTCAATTGGGGTAGTACTTCCAGGTCAAAGCTGGAACAACTACCCACTACACGGGACTGTGGGGGCTTGGTGAGACCTGAGAAATATCCAACTACAAAAGATGAAATTGATTAGGTGCTTAATTGGAGAACTAACTGATCATTTCTGAGAGTGGAGGGTACTACTGGGCAGAGCAACCAGAAAAGAACAAAAGCCTAATAAACTATGTAAGAGATATTGACATTTAGATTCTGACAGAAAGGTTTTGACTGTTTATTTGATCAGGGCATGGGGAAGGTGCCACATGAAAGGAGAGGATTCAAGATAGCCTTAAATCATCCTAGTTGAATGAGTGGTAATCGCATTTGGCTTAAAAAAAAAAAGCGGTGTTAGGCTATTTTTGTATGTAAAAGGATTTACATAGGTGTCATTAAGTCATGAACTTAGTTCCGTGGCCTTCTCTATAGGTAGATGTATGGCTTTCGCTTTGCCCAAAACTTCAGTCCTGGAATCATGGTCACCTGGCAGGACACAGTCATTTTGTTGGACTCAGCTCAAGTATGGTTTGAGGGGCTCAATAATGCCAAAGACACCCTCATCCATTGCTTGGGAAGTCCTAAAAATTAAATTTTCCCTTCCAGAAACCAAGGGGGAAGGCTTGATCAGACAACCCAGCCAGACTCCGGAGCCCTGTCTCCTGGCACTCAACTCTGCGTGCCTCTTCCTCTCACCTCCCATTTCTCGACAGTTAATTTTAGACATTATCTGTCAGCCTCCTGTTGCAGAAGTTTGGGCAATAGTCTCCCCTTCTTTCCTTTTCTCCTAAACACATGGCTGCCTCTTAGAGACTTCCGGTGTACAAAGTAGTGAGCTTTTCCTATATTATTAGGACTGTGTAAATCTTGCTGCTTTTGGATTTTTTAAGAGCTCTTATTTTTTTGTGTTGATTTTTTTTTTCATGGCATGCTTTTCCTTCAGGGTTAAAAAGTTTTCTTAGCAGATGATCATTTGTCTTTAAATTTTCTAATCCTTTTGTTACCTTCTTTTGCTATGGCTGCCATAACAAATTCCTATAGACAGATGTCTTAGCCAAAGGAATTCATTTGTTCACTGTTGTGCAGGCTGGAAGTTCCAGGACAAGATGTGGTCAGGCTGTGTTTCCCTGGAGGCTCTTCCTTCCTTGCCTGGCAGGTGATGTTTTCCTGGATCCTCACATGGTCTTCTCTCAGCGTGTTTCCTGAGTGCTTCTTTAAGGACACTGGTCATATTGGATTACAGAACCCCAGTGACCTCATTTTATCTTTCTTACCCCTTTAAAGTCTCTTGTTTTCCAAGGTTGCAATGTGAGGTATCTGGGTTTAGACTTCAGTGTCTTAAGTTTGGATGAAGGACATGGGAAGGTCACAGTTCAACACATGTGACCTTGCAATGTGTTTGTCTTCCATCCCTCTTTCTCCCATATTTTTTTTTTTTTGATTTGTTGGTTGTCCTATATTTTAGAGTGAGACTGTTGACAACTGATTGAATTTAGTTTGTGTGTGCATAGTTTACCTATATGTTACTTGTGATAGCTGGGGACATGTTCATGCAGGATCTTTGGGTTTTTTTCTCCTATACAAGAGTGGAATGGGTTCTTACACCAGGAACAGTGCTATAAGAACAGGAGGTAGAGATGTTTAAGGATTCCACTTTACTACCCAGGTTCCCTCTGATCCCTGTTTTCAACTTGCCCTGACCCTCCCACACCCATCCTATGACTTAAGAAACCAAACTTCTGATCTCCTGACTATGGAGAAGGAAAGAGGGAACCAGAGTCCAGCTTCCTGGTCTATAATCATGCATACAACCAGCAAGTTTTTGCTTTTGCCTGTGAGTCTGGTCCCCACCTTCTGAAGCATCTAAATCTCCGAATCTTTGGGGAAGGCAGGGTTTATTAGTTACCTCCCATATGCCATGTTCTGTTTCCAAGGATTATCTATGTAATCTGTATGATAACCTTATGGAATGGGTTCTACCATTAGCTTCATTTTGCATACAAAAAAAGTACCACTCAATTAGAACAGAATTAGTAAATCTGAGTATAGGATTTGAGCATGCCTCCATTTGACTTCCCAATGTGCATTTTTATTCATGCTGCTTGTTCTTTTTTTTTTTTTTTTTTTTTTTTTTTTTTTTTTTT